ATCTCAGTGTTGTTTTACTTTGAATTTCTCTAGTAGCCAGAGATGTTGAATATTCTTTTCAGGTATTTACAGGCCTTTTGCATTTCTTCTATTGAAAAGTTTCCATTCATTTCAGTTGCCCATTTGATTGGAGGAGTCTAATGTTTGTAGTTCTTTATATATTCTGATATTAATTCACTGTTTGACAGATAGCTGGCCAAAAGCTCTTCCTGGGTCTTTGATTCACTGATTGTTTTAAAATGTGCTTCTAAAGTCTCAATTTCATTAAGTTTTACTCTGATCTCTAGAATTGCCTCCTTAAACAAAACATAAACTTGTTCTGTTTGTCTAATGTGGGCACTGACTATAATAATCTTCCCTCTTTGGACTATTTTCACATGGCCCATAAGTTTTGGTGTGTTGTAATGGCATTGTTGTCTATTTCAAGAGTTGATTTCTTGTTATTGATGGAATCTCAATGTTGTTATCTATTTCAAGAGTGGATTTCTTGTTATTGATGGAATCTCATCTATTGACAGTTCAGAAGTTTGTTTCTAAGTTTCCAGGAGTTAATAAATTTTTTGTGGTTTCTTTTGTGACTGATTTCTAATTTTAATACACAATGGTATGATAGGATACATGAAGTGATTTTGGTTCTTTTGTATCCCTTTAAGCAGGTTTTGATAATATGTGTTCTGTTCCAAGTGCTGTTGAGAAGAATTATATTTTGCTATAGTACAGTAGAATCCCTTGCAGGTATCTATTAAGTCCATTTGTTCAAAAGGGCAGTTCACCTCTGATATCTCTTTGTTGATTTTTTTTGTTTATCTGTCTCTTCCTGAAAGAGTGGAATTGAGGTCACCAATTATGATTGTGTTTGTGGCTATTTAATAGTTTATGTTCAGAGGTATTTATTTTATGAAGTCAGGTGCTCCAGTGTTTGGTGTACATATATTAAAATTGTTATCTCTTCAGATGGGTTGTTCCCTTAAATAACATCTGGTGACCTGACCCTTGTTGTCCCTTCTGATCAATTCTAGGTTGAAGTGTACTTTACCTGAGAATAAAATTGCTATCATTGCTTGCTTTTGGTATGCTGGTGAATGGAATATTATTTCCTTCCTTTGATTTTTTAGGCTATGATTTCCAAGTTTGGGGAGACCCTTACCATCACTCCTGCCTTCTCAGATCATAAGTTTACCCAGAATCCAGTGACAAAAGTGCTAACTTTATCTATTTACAGGATGGGCACTACAGAAGATCTGCCTCAATGGATGAGCAAGGTAATTCATGCCCATCAATTATACTTGCCTGTGTGTTATCTAGGACAAATAACAGTAGTTTCATGCTCCTATTTTTGTTAATTAATTCATGTTGTGTGTGTGTTAGTGTTCAATAGCTGTAAGAAAATATCTAAGGAAAATCAATCTAAAGAAGGAAAGGTCTACTTTGGCTCCAGGTTTCAGAGGCTGCAGTCCATGATTACTTGGGTGTTTTGATTCTGGGCCTATTGTGAGCCAGAAAAATCCTTGTGGAGAAGTCAGGAAGAGGAGAGCTACTCATCTCATCACCTTGTGGCAGTCAGGAAGGAGGGTGAGAGGAGTCTCTTAAAGGCAGCAGGAAGCACAGAAAAAATAACAAAATCTGGATTTTCTTAGAACAGTGGTTTTTTTCAGAGCAACAAGGAGACACACATTGTAATCAACTGCAGACTTGCATCAGCAGAATGGATAAAGTCCTTATAATGATCACCTTGCCCTGAGTCTGCAGTCCAGAAATGTATATCAGCACCTTAGTTGTGCACAGTTCCCACTGACCTTTTTGATATTCAAACGTAAATCGTAATTACAAGCCAGATTTTTACTAGTTGGAAATTCCTTGTGCTTTTTCTGTTGAGCTCTAAAGAGAGGAAAAAGGCAGAAAATTTGCTTCATTTTGCTCCCTTCTCAATAGAGGAAACTTTTCTGTGGAGCTTGTGAGGTTAACTCTTTGGTGTTTATCTGTTTTGCTGCCTGTATAGAAAACACCTTTAGGTATCCTTTCCATGATCACATAATGAGCTACTCCATGTCAGGAACCACAGCAGAGTTTGGAGATACTGAGATGGTAACTATCACTTTTTACCTGTAGAAATTCCCAGGGTAGAAGGTGAGAGAGATGGTTAGCTCCAATCATTATGGTTTTCCATGAAATGGAAGTAAACATTTATAAACTTACAGGCAATGTAAGTACTTTAAGACACGAATTCCTGCAAATGGCTTCAGTATATGCTGAGGAATGCTAGCCTCATTCAAACTTAAACAAAACAATGTGGATATATATTTGAAGACAGACATCATCTCTCAAAGTGAAATTATTACAATTCATATGTGGCTGTGCATACCAACATTTAGAGTTTGTACAGACATGCAAATGTAGAGTAATCATATATATTATGTATGTAAATATAAAACATATTATATATAATTAGTAATCTGAAAGAACTGGATTTGGTTAATGTCTATTGCAATAATATTTTCTTCTTGGACAACATTATATTATATCTGTAGGCAAATATTTCCATGAAAATTCAAGTAGCTGGACAGGTGCCTGAAGTTTAGCAGCTTTTATACTGTTATGCTTTCATAAACCACCACCAAAGTTCTAAAACATCAGCCATCTTACTCACTAATTGAATATTTTAACACTTTTCTTCTGTAGAGCTAGTGTTTCATTATATTTTCTATTTTCTGTCTTGCTTTTCATGCATTTAAAGTGCTGGAGCAGCTGTTTATTTGGAAAGGTTCCATTATGACCATAATAATCTCCAACTAATTACACATCAAATATTTATTTCTTGCACATTAAATTAATGAAGCAGTTTCAACAAGAGAAAAATTGAATCAGGTTGGCAAACAGTGCCTATAAATTCATGAAAGATTCCCTGTTCTTTTTTGGCAAGACTCTTTTAATACAGATTAACAATTTGTAAATGGAAAAATCGTCCCATTATCTAGCAGTGACTTTTCAAATATACTTGCTTTATTTTTTTAAAGAGCTTTTTTGGATTTGCCCTTGCTATACCATAATATAGCTTTCAGAAATTAAAAACAAGCCATACTATCAACTTTTAAATAGTCAGCTCCATTTCCTTACATTTAATATTATCATTTTCCTAATTCTACTATTGATGTTATAATTTCTTTCAAGTGGGTCAGCTGTGACAGACATAGAGCTGATGGTATAGTTCAGTGGTAGAATATACACTTAGCGTACACACTTAACAACACTTATTATGAGATCTACACAGTTAAAATTTGAAGTACACAATATGATTTTGCTAAATTAAGGTATGATGGTATGTACCAGATCTACAGAATTTATCTATCTAGTGGAATTGAAATTGTATAGACATTAAACTACTCCCCATTCCAACCACTCCCTCAGCACCTGGCAGTTGCCACTGTATTGTAAGCTTATGTTGCTTTGGCTACCTTAGATACCCCATCTAGGTACACTCATGCAGCATTTATCCTACTGTGGCTCACTTCATTTACTTGAGCTAACGTTTCTCCAAAGAAGACAGAGAGACCAACAGCTACTGTACATGGAAGGTTGTTTGACATTGTTAATCATCATGGAAATGCAAATCAAAACTATAATGAGCTATCCTTTCACACATGTTAGCATGGTGGCTTGGTTACTTTTCTCTTATTGCTGAGACAGAATACCCGATGCCCAAATTTAAGGAAGGAAAGGTTTATTTAGCTCACAGTTTGTGGAGGTTTCTGTCCATACTTGGCTGGCTCCAAGGCAGAGTGGCACATGGCACAGGGCAATCATTCATGGCGGTGGAAAATAGCAAAGGCAACAAGAGCAAAAGGGATGAGCAGAGGCAAGCAGCCTCTTTTCCTCCCTTACATTGTATGTAAACTACTTGCCCCAGGGCAGGTATAGCGCTCACACCCATGAATCAATCATAAACTCTAGAAGCCTGCCACATGACAGCATGAAGCTTTCAGGGGCCATCCAGACACAAACCATAACTAATGGCTATCATCAAAGAGAGGATGATAAAAGGAGCCAGCTAGAATCAGAAGTTAGCTAAGGATTTACTCCTCTGAAAAGCTCTTAAAAAAAATGAGTGACATTCTCAACTTCCTTTTTTTCTTTTCATACACTTGTTTTAAGATCTCTCATACTATTTTCTTTCAGATCCTTTGCTAGCATGTGTATAACAACTAAGTATTCCTGTAAAAAAATTTCAGGAAAGAATTTTTCTGAGTAGTTGGTCTGTCAAGACTAAAGATAATGTCTATGGAACTCTTTTATTAGAAAGAAATCATCTCACCATTTTCCAATAGGGAAAACTTGCATGGTGGCCACTGGACCCAGTGGAATGTTATTTACAATTCTTGGTAAAGGTATTACCATTTTGCGCAACTGGTCAACCATATAGTTGGAGGAGACAGCAATTGTCCCTTTCACGTGATTGTTTGGAGTGGGGTTTTTGATTCCTTATATATGAGGGAAATATGTTTTCCATTTATTCACAGAAAGAGCCTTTGAAGCTACTTGAGGGAAACTCTCTGTACTGGTTCTTTTTCGTGACAAATAATCTACATCAGTGACTTCTCCTGCAGGTGGGGTAGGATGAGCTTTAGTCTTTCTCCTCGACTTCCTTCTTTACACTTTCCTGGGGATGGCCTTTATTCTGCAGAAGGAAACAATAATCCAGTTCATGATATGTGGTCTATGTCTTGAACATTGCTCAGTATAGAGTATTTGTTTTCTATAGAAACATCTACCAAAAGAAATTGATGTGTTCACATTTCCTTAGAAAGTTACAGGCTGTAACTCTAACACTTCCTCCTCAATGCATGACCACGAACAAAGATACAAAAGACACAGAGGACGACTTAATTTGCAAAGGTATGCATTGTTTGGCCTGGAGTGTGTACTTTTCTCTTTCTAAAATTTCCTCCTTCTCTTTCCCTCCTCCTCCTTTTTTCTCTCTTCTTTTCTTCCTCTTCTTCTTCTTTTCCCTCTTTATTCTTTTTGCACTCATTTCCTTTATCACCTAATCCTCCTGCACTACCTTCTTCTTACAGTGAGCAATCATTCTTCAACTATAGCCATCCCAGGGTCCTCCCATTCACGTTTAACCTGAATCACACACATGCAACTATGTAACAGCTGCCTGTCTTCTGCAGGTATCCGAGTTTCCACCTCTGACTTCAATGATTCTGTGTGTCTTATGAGACACAGCCAAAAGCAAGAGGAGAATACAGACATAATTACTGGGGGATGTGAGCATAACACAGATATTACTGTAAGTACAACATGCATCTGAATTGATTCAGATTGGAAAGTGTAGCGGCAATGTGCTGGGAAGGTTGTGGAGAGCATGTTTTCCTTGCCAAATCATCCTCTCAAATGTAATCAAGACATCACCCAAAATGTAAGGGCTGAACACACAGCAGGACTACATGATCCAAACATTGAAGGATCGTAAAGAAACTGGATAAAAACATAGGTGCTCCTTCAAATATTGCCTGCCAATGAAAATGTAACCCCAAGTAGCAGATGACATGCAGAAAATCAAACCATCATCTCAGGGGTGGAGAAACACAAGCGTCATTTTTGAAGCTCCTTGGAAGATTCTGATGTGTAGACACATTGGGAAACTACTGATCTAGATCTCTGCTAAATACGAAGGCTGGTGTACCACCGTTAATTAGCCATCTCACTTGAAATAGGGCACCACTGTTGTAATCCTGAACTTAGATCTTACAAAGCATCTATATCATCTTGGGTACATGTTATCATCTATGTTTTTTCTCTCTATATATTGACTGTAATAATTTTTAATGGCCATAAGACTGATGTGGGCTCTAATTCAGAGGAACTACCATCCAGTGGGAGTGTAATAAGATAGTGATGACTACAGTCATTATTATTATTTTTTATTGTTTAACCCTTTCCAATGATTATGTTGAGTTCATTCTTCAATTGGGATCACATTTCAATAACTGTCCGGAAAGCTGAATACATTAATCAAGTGTTCTTCCTCCAGATCAGTTTTCCATTCACTATTTTAATCTATATCTTGGTCAACTGGAATATATTTTCAAGTCATTTTTTTCATAAAACTTCCTTTTTTATTTTTTTTTTATTTTAAAAATAAAAGGAGGAAAACATTAACAGACAGACAACATTTTACAACATAGCAAAAGAACAGTACAGACAATACAGAGTTACAAACAAAGTGGTAGGGAATTAACAATGGTTGTTGTACTACATATTGATATCTTCAAAGTGGCTTCTCATGAAAACAGATACAGAAATGCAATACTGATCAACCAAAGACTCATTGACAGTTTCTTTCAGCATAGAAATAGAAGACAGAAAAACAACCATGTTAACTATCCTATATATACATACATACAAAATTTCTCCTTCTTTCCCTTCTCTTTTCCCATATCCCAGTTGCCCTTTACTCTTGAGTGGTTTCCTATCATTTCACAGTGTCTATCATACCTCCGAGTTTAAATTAACTCTTGCAAGTTTTACACTAGTGAAACAATGTGGTGCTTGCACATGTATGTTTGATTTATTTCACTTATGAGTATGGTCTCTAGTTGTGACCATTTGCCTATAAAAGCCTCGAGTTTATCTTTCTTTACAGCTGAGTAATATTCCATTATATAAAAGTACCACAATTTTCTTATCCAATCCTCGGTGGATGGACATTTGGGTTGCTTCCACATTTTAGCAATTACAAATTGTGCTGTTATGAACATAGGTGCACATATATCACTGTGATATGATGTTTTGAGATCTTCTGGGAAAATACCCAGCAGGGGGATAGCTGGGTTGAATGGACCTCTAGACCTAGTTTTTGGAGGAATCTCCAAACTGATTTCCACAGTGGTTTCACCAGTCTGCATTCCCACCAGCAGTGGAGAAGGGTTGCTATTTCTCCACAGCCTTGCCAGCATTTGTTATTGGTTGATTTCTTAATGCTAGCCATTCTTACTGCGGTAAGGTGGAATCTCAGTGTTGTTTTAATTTGCATTTCCCGAATGACTAATGATGTTGAACATTTTCTCATATATTTATTTGCTATTTGTATCTCCTTGTCTGAGAAGTGTGTATTCATCTCAGCTGCCCATTTTTGGATTGGGTCTTTGAATTTGGAGGGGCTGATATTTTTTAATTCTTTATATGTTCTAGATAGAAGCCCTTTGTCTGAGGGACAATCAGCTAAAATTTATTCCAAGTTTGTGGGTTTTCTTTTTACTCTGCTGGTGATTTCTTTAGATATGCAGAAACTTTTCAGTAGGATGAGATCCCATAAAACTTTCTTGAATGGTACATACTGTGGACCAGACCATGCCTGAGATATACCTTCTTCCTGCTTCACACTGGAAGGAAATCTCTCTTTGAATGAAGTATTTAGTCTTGAAGACTCACCTATCAACACTCTGTAGATGTTATTTGATCTTTTATTGTTTGCTATTACAAAGAAACTGCAGACCAGTTCAGCCATACTTCTTTTGTTTGCCAGGGTAGTTATAGACGTTACTTCACTTCCATTGAAATTATGGTGACACAGCAATAGCAACGTCTGGGTTCCATTCTATTTTTATGAACATTTCCTGAAACCCAAGTCAAGCCATTCAATTGGCAATTGTGTTGTTTTCTCACTTTAGAGAAGTTCCCTTTTGTTAAATCCTTGGCTATTATTTCTGCTCCATTTGCTTTCAAATCATCTTGGAGAACACTAATTATAAGTTGATTCTTCTCTTTGTCACTTTGTAATTTTAATCTCTTTTCATTTTAATCTATTTGTCCCATTTTCCTGCATTCTGGGAAAGTGTCCATGTTTTCAGATGCCAGCAAATTGATTATTTTTTAATGTCGGTCTCATTTTTTAATAATTCCAATGCAAATTTAAGGCTTGTCATGGAGATTTACATTTCATTCTTTTCTTTCTAAAGTGAAGTCCATGTGCATCTTATTCTATTCTCTTCTTAGACTCCAAGGTTTCCATTGTATTTACAAAGCCAAATGAATAAAACAAACCCACCTGACCTAATTTCAATCAATGTCAGTTCCTTAAACAGCTGATGATTTGGTATCAGGAAAATCTAAAACACTTTCTAAAATGACCCTCTCAGAACTTCTCCTACCTTTAAAATGCTTCTAGTTTTTGAAGTTAAGCAGTAGATAAATCTGGAGATGTCTGTCTTCCATGTACTTCTCTGGGAAGCAATCCCTTGCTGTGAACCATTTACACTTCTATAGATAACCCATACAAAATTAGAAAAAGGAATTGAAGAACTATATTTGTCTCTGCCTTGAAATAGGGTCCTATCTTGCAGCAGATTAAGCCATGCTGTGAGAATGAGAGAGGATGGAGAGTGAGTGAGACACAGGGTCTTCTCTCAGCACAGTTGGAATAAGATAGAGTGGCCCTATAGCTACCAAACCCACCTCAAAACCCTCTTCAGGGGATTCTGTCTCCTTTCATCCCCATAATCTACCACTATGTCATTTTTTCCTATTATAAATTCAGCTTTAGGGTGCAATGAAAACTTTCCACAAACTCATCCACATGAAGGGTTACACTCAGTGTATTGATCAAGCAGCCGTCATTGAATGGATACTTACTATGTATAAGGAAAGCAAAATTTCTGAGAAGCATTGAGCTCTTACTTGCTGTTATGGTTTGTGTCTGGATGTCCCCCTCAAAGCCTCATGCAGTCATGGGTGCAGGCTTCTAGAGTTTATGATTGATCCATGATCCAATGCTGACATTATGGGTGTGAGTGTTACATCCATACTGGGGTGGGTAGTTCACATATGATATAAGGGAGGGAAAGAGGCTTGCTCTCTCTGCCTGCTCTCTTCCCTTTTGCTCTTTTTGCTTTTGTTATGTTTCTGCTGCCATGAGCTGTTGCCCTCAGCCATGTGCCACTCTGCCTTGGAGCCAGCCAATTATGAGCTGAAACCTCTACAAACCGTAAGCTAAATAAACCTTTCTTTCCTTAATATTGGATGTCAGGTATTTTGTCTCAGCAATCACAGAAAAGTAACCAAGACACTGGCAAACACTTGTTCTTTCTTTTTTTTAATTTTAAAGAGAGAAAAACCAATAAAAACAATACAGAATTTCAAAACAAGATGATAGGAAACTGACAATGGTTATTACATCACATATTGTTATCTTCAAAGTAATTACCTGGATTACCAGACATAGGCGTGAGCAAACAATACAAGTTCTGAAGTAGGGAGTGATTCGGAATGTAGGGGACAATGACTCTTAGCATATCATTTTAAGATAGAATAATTCTAGCCTTAGTGCAAGCCTCAAAATGTGTCTTGAGAAACATCCCAGAGGGTTGTAAAGAGCTAACTTTGCAGTCCTGACTTAGCCATGGATTGCTTCTCCAAAGACAAAGAACACCAAGGCCCAGATAACCACCTATGACCCTGCCTGGGTTGTTTCATCCCTTCCCTGGCCCTAGATAAACATTGTAACCATAAAGGAAATGTATGGTTATCTAAAGGGGGACATGTAGATCAGAGTACAGAAAGCATATATCATTGTGGTTGGGCTCATGACTGGAGCCTGACCCGGTTACATAGCACAAGGAAAACAACATGTGGCCAGGGCTACATTCCTTTCTGTTACCATGGAAACCAAAAAATGTATATAACCTGGGAACAAAGAGAGGTCCAGGCCCACTTCCCTGACTTGCAAGTCGGGATGAGAGGGGACCGGTCTAAATTAAAACTTTGTCTGTTCTCTTTGGTCTCTTGTGGAATACAGCCTGAATTTTTGCTGTAACAGGAATAAGGCATGCATGTGGCAGAGTGGTGGTTCATGTTGCCACCTGGCTGAAGAATTTTTTTTAACATTCATTCATTCATTCACTTATTCATTGTGCTAGAGATTGAATCTAAGACTTCATGTATAGTTAACATATGTTCTATACCACTGAGCTTCTCCTCCAACCCCAAGAAGTTCATTTTGCAGAGCTCTCCAAAGTAGAATAATATAATGGACCACATGGAGTCTAAAGAGGACAAAAGTCACACAGCAAAAGAGGGGAATCAGCGGAGACAGGGACTGGTGGAGGCAAGCATTGCAGATCACAGCATTATCACTAGTTCAGGAAGAAAGACAGCTTCTACATGTTTTGTGATTGCCTCCCGTGCAACTGTCCTTGTGCTGTCCCATACACGTTTTTGTTCAATTGTCTTAACATTTTAATACAGCTATAGGGAGACCGTAAGTGTGGGGAGCCAGGTTTAGAAGTCACT